TTTGCACAAACAAACTTTCAAAAGACTAAGCATGTTATGAAAAAACAATGTTCCAAAATTTAAATGTACCTTGAGATTCTGTGTATCAGGTTTAATTTTGAATCACTAGCAACATAAACCGAAGCTTTAAATTTAATATAATATTTGAAAATATAGAATCTAATAGTGATAGAAAGAGCCCCCAAAGGTGTTAAAACGGCCCTGCATGCAGTATTTGAGTAACTCTCAAGTGTACGGATGTGCAGATCGGTCACTCAGGGTTAGACCACTTCCCGTCCACCAATCGAGACGTACGATGTGCCATTCCACGCCACTTGTTTCCTGAAGGGGAACTGTTTGTTTTCGAAATCGGACAGAAAATTCTAAGAAATTTCCAAAAACGTACATTGGCGCTGCGATTTTAGTGTTAGAGAATTAAACCAATACCACCTAAATAAATTTATATATGTGGCGTTGATTAAACTCCAGAACTTCGTGGTTATTTTCAGTCCATGACACTATAATTGAATCGTTTATTTCAGAAAACCGTCAAACGCCAAATTCCTCATATCGAGAAAACTGAGAAAATGGTCCCAATTTTCAGATTTCAAAATATTTTTATTTATTAAAGCAATTGATAAATGAATATTTTTCATGTAAATATGCACTAAACGATGTGTCTATCCTCTTGCAACAATAATTCGTCGCTAATTCGTGGTTTAGATTTTAACGTTTGACGGGTTTCTGAAATAAGCGTTTCAATTTTCTCCCATGAGGAAGACAATACTGATTGTTGACAAACGAGCAATTTGAAATGAAAATCGAGGTAGAATTTGTGATTTCCAAATATTCGTATTTAATGCGTATTTTTTATAATAAATTTGCAAATTATCCAGGAATATTAAATTTGAAGAATATCAAGTAAATACGAATGAAACAAAAACTGTAAGTAATACTAGAGAATACATTTTTTAAGCGTGAAAAGATAGATTGTCAATTTTATTTGACTTACAACTTATTCACATTATTCACATAAACATACAAAATAGGAACCTTTTAATGCTTATGTATATTCGCCTTCAGAACATTAATCAGACTGAGTTTGTGGTGTTGAATTTGGATACGACAAGGAAGTGTATGCACGGAAATGTTTCATAACGTTTCTGTACGTGCACGAGGGGCGACACGTGCCAAATTTTACCCGTGCCCCGAGTACCCACACCTATATCTACTAGGAATATCAACTCAATAATTGTTATATGACAGGATCTATTTAGTTAAATCACTGATCTAGGTTTTGCACAAACAAACTTTCAAAAGACTATAACCACTGACGACATACCAGCTATTAAATGAACCATATAAATAATGGAAATAGTAATTTATAAAGAAACAGATAAAGCATTGGGTGAAAAGCCTTAAGTAAGGAAAGAAAAACATGTTGGTGTAATGAAAATTTTTAATGATTGAAGAGAACAAAGTTCAAAATAAAGCAAGTTTAACTACATGACATCCCAATAATAAACAAGCCCAAAGTAATGTACATAATAAAAGTATACAGGTAAGTTTAACAAAAACCAGAGGTGTGTTCAGCCTAAAACATGACAGGAGGCCAGAGAGTATATACAGGAGGCCAACATTTACGAGACACTTTGCACCCCTCAGGACCCCCTTTTCCATTAAACTTTTTTTTATATTTACAAATGACATGTAAATAAATGAAACCCAATTCACGGAGAATGAAATAACTTGAAAGATAAAATTAATAAATACAATTGGTTTTATACAGAACCATTTACTGGGTTGCATATAGTTTGGAGAGCCTCTTCCCCAAACTCACGACGTTTACCAATTCCCCAAATTTTTAGATTAAGAAAGGGAAAATCAGGCACTCGTCAACCCAACGGAAGAAATGTGTTTTATTATGTAGGGCTTTAGGCAACATCACCTAGATATACAAGGTCTTGTAGTCATTTAAGATGGCCGCCAATGTAAGCCATACAAACTGAAATGCGAAGTAAAATTGAGGTTACCAGACGACAATATATAAATAATTTCACTATCAAATAAGAAATATGAAGTCTACTTTATTCAGCTGGAAGATTGTACCTAAATTTGTGATTTTTTAGGCGAAAAAAGGGTAAATTTTCTATTAATACCGTTATTGTCACTAACTACGCACAGTACACAATATCCCAACATCCCATAATCCCAACATTTTTTTCAAAAATATTTTGAGAGTCCTGTACACACACATTTTATTTCTACGTATTATGTGTACTACCTCTTTCAGATCTTATATTATAATTGATATCATGCATGTAGGAGAACTTGATGCAAGTAATTGATTATTACATTTAATACTTACAATGTTATCTGCTTAAAAATCCATCATTGGCTTTAAATGTATCTCATCAATTATGAGAGTAACTAAGTTATCACTATCACTTAATTTATGTATTTGTTTCTTGTATACTTTAAAAATTGTTTTCACTTTGTTCCATTTGAGGTACTAAACCACATGAAGAACACAATCGCCTGCACTAAGATGACGAAATATGATGAGCCCTAAATGCTTAAAATATTTATAAGAATATGGCTGTATGGTAAATTTAATGCAATACGATATGAAACCCATGAACTGTATGATATGCTCTTATTTTATAAGGAGTTTTATTTGTTTCAGCTTAAAAACAACAGGCCATTCAAATTCTGAATTTGTGGTATCAATTTAAAGTAATAGGTCTCAAATTAAGGCAAAAATATCACGAGGACTGTTATAATACTACTACTTTAACCTAACTTTTTTAAAACAACACAATTTATAAATACTATCTGATATTGTAGTGCTTCCATGTTTCAATACTTTTTTTACAATAATAAACACATAGTTTCATTCAATTTCTTGTACAACACAACTGAATTAAAAAATTTTGAAGCAGAATTATAATCAATATGTTTGAAAAAGAATAATGTCTTTCTTATTAATAATCAACAAATAATCATTCAAAATAAACAACTCCAGTTTACTTCTTAGTTCATCAAAGTACTGAAAGATATTTCATTAATCTTGCAAAATTTTATTTTGCACTTTCAATAGCAATAAGCAAATACTAGTTTTCTAAACGCAATTTCTTTTCTTGAGGACTTTCTCTGTAGGAAGTGCTTGGACGATTCAAGTAAGCAGGACAATTAGACAACAAAGGACAGTCGTGTATGTTTTAAAAGACTTATTTGTAGTTGGATATCACAATAGATCAGTGAAATCTTGTGGGTTTCCCACGTTCGCAAATGCACTTAACAAACCTGAAAGTAAACACTGAACTTAGCAACTTACACTTTCCATTTTTTGTTACAATTCCCTCACCTAGGGTCATAGACCTTATTTACCATGATTCTCACTATTTTCAACAACAGACCACGCTCGAAAGCTACACGTGCTACTCATCGTGAACAACATGATTGCCTTAACTCAAACAAGTCGGTCTTCTCTAACCGCCCTATTGGCTTTGAAAAATTCCAAGGCACAGGCTTTGTAGTATCTAGAAAGTAATGCTATAGGGCCTCTATCGAAATGTTCAGGGGATCAAGGTCCCCTGAACATACGTGTGCACGTCTATGAGCAGGGACGGAGCCAGGAGGAGAGCCAGGTGGCCATGCCCCCTCCATCCCAAAAATGCCTGTGAAAAACAATAAAAATGGCAAGGGTACAAGAAATAAAAAATAAGAAACACAAGAAAAAATTGTAGAAATGTCTAAAATGTATCGATAAAGTAACCGCGCGTTCTGTCCTTAGCCTCTTAGTTACGAATGAGAATCCTGATTCTCGCAGTATTTCAAACCAGTGGTATGTATGAAAAATTTCTTCGTCTGTTCTCCACAGACATGTGACGCTCATATCTCTTTCTCACTCCACTTGATAAGCGATGCTAAGGCGACTTCCACGTATTGAAGTGAGGCCCTCGCAACCGAAAACAAACTGTTA